GAAAGAAAGAAAGAAAGAAAGAAAGAAAGAAAGAGAGAGAGAAAGAAAGAAAGAGAGAAAGAAGGAGGGAAGGAGGGAGGGAGGGAGGGAGGGAGGGAGGAAGGAAGGAAGGGAGGGAGGAAGGAAGGAAGGATGGATGCTGGGGATGTAACTCAGTGGTAGAGCACCTGCCTAGCATGTGAGGACTGGCATTCAATTCTCTGTACTGGAAAAAAATTACTGTTGATTTAAGACCCCTCCATAACATATGCTTCAACATTCCCAAATTAAAACATCTGATGATACTAAACATTGACACAGATGTAGGGTGGGAAATCCTTATATACTGTGGTTGGTACTTTTGACTTTATCTAATAAAGTCGAACATGTGTCCATGCTGTCATCCAGAAATTCCTCTCCTAGGTATATTTTCTAGTGGAACTTTTGGAGCATATGCACCATAAGACATAGAGAGTTCTCAGCATCATTATAATCTTTAGATCATCAACAAGAGCGGGGCTTAATAAGTACTGGAATACAGAATCAGTGGATACTCTATAAGCAGTAAATTTTAACCACATTATATGCAGCAAAGTTGATACATCTTATAAACTGAATGCTGAGTGAATGAAGCAAGTCAGAAAAGAATAAAAATAGTAGGGTTAATTGATATGTGAAATAGGAAGAAAAGGTCTGACGGAGTAGGGGGAGTGGGAAGGGTAGGGGAAAGGAAAGAAGGGAAAGGAAAAAATATGAGAAAAGGAAAGAAGGGAAACAAAGTCTTTGTAAATAGGGAGGGGTGGAGGGGGTGAAGGAAGGGCGGGGGAAGGGAGAAAAAATAAGAACCACCATATGTCATGTAAAGGTCCAAGATCCCAATGATGAAAGTAACTATACTATATACCTAAAATGTACCAATAAACTTAATGAAAAAAGAATAGTAGGGTTAATTTATACAAAATTCAAAAAGAAAATCATTTTAGGGACACATTAATAAATGTTTATACAGAAAAACAGATAATAATAAACACCTATATGTATATAACATGCACTATTCTATATGCTTTATGCACATTAACTCAATCTCCAAAGCTACTGAGAAATACCCTCTGCAATTTCTTGGATTCTAACCAAAATGCTAAGATTACTAAACGTACATTCTCCATCATTTGCAATGCTCTTTCCAACCTCCCTATCACTGAACACCTAACTCATCTTGAAAGCCCCAATGTATATGTTATTTCCTTTGTGACAACTTGTGTACTAAAGTAAAACAACTGAAATGGTAAAATGAAGTGATCAGGTTATTAAATAAACTTGTAACTGAATAGGAAGATTGTAGAGACTTCATTCATACATGAAATAAATATAAAAGCTAAACTGTTTTCGCATTGCAGTGTGAAATTTTATTTTTAAATTAGGTGACAATATTTAAGTGTAAACATACATTTCAGTGTTGCAGTGTAACTACAAACACTTGTTTTCTGTACTCATCTTAAAATGTTTTAAAAGTCAAAGTTTACAAGTTCAAAATAACACAAAATGAAGGTTTTAAAGAAGGGTAACAAAAAACAATCCCAATGAACACAAAGTTACCTTAAATGAGGTTTCCATGCACTCCACAAGGTCATCAACTATCTTCCCAAGTTTGTCTATGATAGAGTAATTACTTAAACCTTCAGAAATATTTGAAAACTTGTCCAGAAGATTAGTCAAGCTGACTGACAACTGTGTTACCATCTGGCGTAACCAACAATGACTAGGCTGGAGGAAATGAAAGAGGAGATAAAACATTTATTTTAATTACAAAACACCCAGGCAAATTACCCAAATTCTCTGAAGTTCACATTGTTTGTATACGCCATGTGAAGAGTGGAACCTTCCCTAAGGGGCAGTTGTTAGGAGATAATGTAGATAATTTATATATAAGTTCTAGGAGGGCAGAACTTTTTAAAAAGTCTAGTTCCTTGTAGTGTTCCCAATGGCTAGAATAACATCTGGCATATGGGAGTAGGTCAGAAACAAATTGCTTAATGGACATATCAGTGAATTAAAAAAAAAATGAGAAAATGCACTTTATATCAGAGGTCAGTTCTCTCTTTCTACAAAGGGCAAAAGAGTGAATATTTTAGGCTTTGTGTGCCATGAGGTAAAACCAAGTATATTATATAAGGCTACATTTACAAGAAAACACATATTTCCACCAAATATTATTGCAAAATTCAAAATTTAATAAGAACAGTTGAACAAAATTTTTGCATAAGAAAATCTTTTGAAGTATACATCTAACGAGAAAAAATGTTTAGGTTAATGTTTTGCTTAGTTGTTTTTCAAAATCAGCATTCTCTATTATCAGATAGAATGCTCAAAGTAATCGATGCCATGCAAAACGAATCAAATCACCAAACTTTTTTTTCTGCTTACCAGCAGAACATCTCTGTGGGGAAGTCAAATAACTTACTTATTCTAAATTATGTACGGAGGCTATTGAATATTCATTTAACAGGGTAGTTTAAATTGGTATATTTCAATCAAAAAAGGAAACTGGTGTATCTTCAGGTAGGTAAGCCCCGATTCTCAGAAACATGACATATTCAAAACTTTGAGAACTGTTGCGGGTAGTTAGGTAAGTAGAATAAACACCTCAGTGAAGTCAAGCAGCCATTTCACCTCAACATAACCAAGTTCTCAAAGACTGTATGTTTCCCATGTGCGTTCAGAATCAGGTCTTTGGTTTGTTACCCATGTAGACATTCATCCTTGCATCATTAACAAGTCTCTTTCAAAGGCAGGCATGTTGACATGAGCCTGTCATCCCAGTTCCCTTCTAGGTGGTTGAGGCAGAAGGATGGCAAGTTTAAGTTCGGCCTAGGAAATGTAGCACCTTAGGGAGACCCTGTCTCAAAATAAAACTTTAAAAGTGCAGAGACCCTGGGACCAATTCCTGATACCACATTAGAAAAACAAGCTGTCAGTCTTTCCTTTGGTGCTGAATTATTCTCCAAGTTTCTCTCCTGTTTGGCAGTGCTAACTCTTTTTAGGTCACTGGCTCTATCAGCAAAGGCTGATTAGGATACAGAACACAGCACATACTATAATACTGTTTGTAAAGTATCTAGGTGGTAGGATAGCATTTTACCATTTAGCTTATTCAGTTGTAATCACACGAATTTTCCTATGACAAATAGATTCCACGGATTAATCTCTTAAAACACTTTCTTTGTTCCATGTTAGAAATGTTCTTGCCTATCTTCTCCAACTTTCTGACAAGTATGAACCAAGATCAAATTTCTTTGTTTTAAAGTGAGGCACACCTTCTGGCTCTGAGGCTGTGGCCTTAACTGATTTTGTGTGTGTGTGTGTGTGTGTGTGTGTGTGCGCTTTCCCTGCAATAAAGAAGAAAAGAGTGAGTTTATTTCTTATTTTCAAATTGAGGAATTCTGGAGTAGTTTCTGCTACTTCTATTTCTATTTTCAACTGAGCTCTATGTTTGCAGTTTGGATTCTATTTCTATTTAATTATAACCTCTCCTTCCCCCATTTTCACATTCCTTAATCAATACTCTGAACAACAGATTTTTTTCAGTAAAATTTTCAACTCTGAAACTTCAATCCTGTGATTTCTAAGAGTTAAATCATAGAAATCCTGTGATCTAATCTCACCTATGCTTTTAAGGACATGGACAAATTGTTGATAGTTGACTAATTGACTCTACTGCTCAAAAACCATATATTTATAAAACTCTGGGTATAATATTTTATTCATTGTTCATTCCTGCTTGTGCAATAATTACTTGAGAAAAGACTATAAAATCAATTCAAATTTCTACCTTTTCATTAATTACTTGACCAAGTATATATTAGCTTCTTTAAATTCTTAGGTGTATTACAGATATAATAAAGGTAAACAAATATTATTAAACATCTGCCTGTTTTGACCTGCCTTCCTCTAAGACAGGAAATCAGTTCTGACTAGAACATGAAGCACTTTTGTGTTTTAAAAAATTAAATATGGTCAATGGTTTTCAGAGAGAAGAAAACACAAAGAACTAAGTATTTCACGTGTAAAATGACAGGTCTTATGTTCTTCAATTTTTCCAAGATTATGATTATGAAAGATGATTAAAGGTTTCCAAATTCATAAATGTAATTTTTTCTTTCCTTTAATAACAGGATTATCACTGTTATCTTTCAGAGACCATTTTAAATAGCTTTAAATAAATATTAACTCACAACACTCACTAGAACAACATAAGATATAATGTTCTCTCTTTCACTGGAAAGAATGTGAAGGAGTAGGAAAATTAACAGTCACACAAGATGTCAATGACTTTTAAATGCCTGAAGTACTTGTAATTTGGTATTTTATTTACCTATTTTTTCATAGTTTCCAGAAGATCAAATGGGCAACTTTGAATGGGAAAACTTGCCTGGATTTTCCTCTGAATCCATACTCCATCTAATTTTTTTCTATCTTTCTTGGTAGCTTCCAAGCTACATTTTCTGTGTTAATTAGAGGCACATGCACTTTCTATTCTTATAATGCACTATTCTTGAATGCTGACTACATGACATTGAGTTGATTCTTGACCTGCTTACAGCCCACTGCCACTGACAACTGAGGCAAAAAATATTAACTTCCTTTGAGATTTGAAAGTACCATGAGCACCAAATCCATGATTTCACTAAATGACTGAATAAAAGATACAATGAAAAATAAATATAATTAAAAGTACTAGTACCCTAAGAATATGACTGTTTTGCAAGGGAAAAAAAAAGAGGGCATTCATGTACATTCATGTACTAAACATAAATTTAAAAAAGATGAAACATGCATTCCACAAACCGTGTGACACAGTTCCACTGCAGTCCCAGTACCGGTAAACGGGAGACTCTGGCTTCAATGAACTGTGTGCTTTAAAAACATCCCGGGGTCTTGCTATGTTTAACGTGCTTTCTCCTCCCCACTCCCTGCTTCATTCAAAAAAAACTATACTGGTTTGGCAGATGAAAGAATTTGACACATTATTCTGTATCAGTATTAGATGCAAAAAAGTCTTTAAGTGTAGTTACCATGAAATTTATAGAATTAAAAGCTAAAAGTGAGCAAAACATACTGTAACATTTCTCCATTACTTTCACTACTTTCATTTGGTAGCTATGCATAGATATCTATATGCTTTCTTCTTGGGTTCAAAGACAGTATTAATGTAATGAAAGCTCTCTTCAAAGGAGTTGAGGGGAAATATCAATCAAAGATTCTAAGGGAGAAAAGCCTGGCTTGTATAATTTAAACGATAATCACAAGCTGTTTTCCCCCAGCCTTTGAGCCAACTAACTTAATTATCAGCAATACTGCCCAGTTTGACTTTTTAAATTGTTTTCCTTAGTGTCAGACCTCAGCCTTGCCAGAATTAGAGATATGAATGCCCAGGCCATAAAACATCCCTTTCTTCTTGTCTAGTTAGCATCTGCTTCCAGGCTTCACGATCAGAATAATCCAGAGCCATGGCACTGGAATTGCAGCATTTAAATCTAGAAGGAATATCAAAGACCATCTGGTGCAGTCTACCCATTTCCTACAGCAATGAAGTGGCCTGTCCAAGTTTACACAACAAATTTAATCAGACACATGAGAAACCAAACTCTACCACTTGTCTAGTTCTATCAGTGAGAACAGCCAAAGCACACATGACTGGAGTGTTTTTCCTGCTGGATTCACAACTTCGTGACCTCACTGGTTCTAAGGCTAAGTTAAGAAATCTCTCAGAAATGGAAATGGCTTTCTGTCTCATGTTCATGAATCCAGTACTGTCAGTAAAAACAAGTTTCTCCAAGCCATCACGACAACCAAACAGCAACTGCCAGTTGCCATAAATGGATTTGCTTCACTGTCCTTCTAGTTTTTACTTATGGCCTGCTAATCTCAGACACCCCATAGGCAGACAGATCTAAAACTTCCCAGCTAGCACTTTGCAAAACACTGTGCATCCACAATGCTACCGCAGACTTCACAGAATCTGAAGTCCCTGTTGGATAAGCTGGCTTTTACACTGATTTATTTTAGTCTTCAACCTCAACAATAAATTTGGACCTTCATTGTTCATTTTAGTCATTTAACTTTCCATTTTCATGTTTGAATTAAAGTGATGTTGAAACCTCACTCTGATTAAGATGGTAATCAACCCAAGCACTATAAATATATGTTATTTCCCAGGGCAGACCTATAAATGGTCCCAGAGCCAGACCCAAAATAGCACGGTGAAGGAACATCTGAGGAAGCGAGGCAGCAATGCCTGATGGACCGGAGGCCCAGTTTTTAGTCGAAACTGTGTCAACTCACTCTGTGATTCTAGGTAAACTGTTTAACCAATTTAGGTCTCTGAGAACTTCACCATCTGTAAAATAAAAGGGCTTGTCTAATCTTTCTTTGCTGGAAGTAACTATTCACTTGCTGCTACTTGTCATTCAAATTGTGGCTAATGTGACTGAGGGAATACAATTTTGACTTCACTTACTCGTGATTTGTGCGTGTGTGTGTGTGTGTGTGTGTGTGTGTGTGTGTGGCACTGGAGATCAAACCCAGGGTCATTCTACCACTGAGCTACATCTCCAGCCCTTTTTATATTTTACTTGGACACAGGATCTCACTAAGTAGCCCAGTTTGGGCTTGACCTTCCTGCTTCAGCCTCCTTCAGTCCTAGGATTATAGGAGTGAGCCACCATGCCTGGCTTATGCTTTTTTTTTTTTAAAGAAACACTTTC